ACGAATTTAATTGTTAAGATCCTATCTTTGTACAGAAAAATTCATGATATTACGTTTGTAAAATCTGAGAAGGTACTTGACCCGAAAATATTCGAGTAATGAGTAAATATCTAAAGAATAATTTATCGGGGGCATTATACTGTCAGAATTGTTCGAAATGACTGAAGGAAATGATAAGATTGGATTAAATAATAAGACCGGATGGAGGAAAAAGATTGAAATACTTTGGATCTGTAAAATGACCAAAATACCCCTGTAATGGAAATGACCCAAGAATATCACTAAGCTCAGAAATGATGGGATATCCTTGAGCTCTGTTATGATTGGAATAAAACTAAAAACCAAAATGACCAAAATACCCTTATGGTCTATATTAAGTAAATGTCTTGGATTAATTAAGGAATCCAAGTAAGCATAGGTATTGGACTACCTTTAAAGGTAATGGAAAATAATTTAAGTGAGTAGATCAACCCTAAAGCTATGTCAATACCTGAATGGCATAGATATTACTGGAACATGTGTTCGTATTCTCAAGTTTAGCTCGATGATAAATTTTGGAAGTATTCAACTCAGCTCAGCTCTAGATCGTATTCAGTACTAAGAATTAGACGTTTGTTCGACAAATCAACCACGAATACCAAATTGAATGGAATGAAAGTACAACATGTATCTGAAATTCAGGAATGTTTGAATTACTCTGGAAAATCCTAAAGTAACTGGAATGGACATGACTGCTAAATGAACTAGGTAACCTCAATGACTGAGGATTTAATAAGTAATTTGGATAACTCTGGAAACTCTGATGAGTTTGCGTAGTATACAATTACAATGGGTTATGAACAAATTAATCAAGTACGTCAGCATTTCATGATATTGTGGAAGTGTGGAAATGAAATAAAGATATTGGAAGATTTATTCAACGATGATTCCGAAAATGGTCTATGGACAAGAATTGTGGTATTAAAGAGTAAATACCCTGTAAGAACAATGAATTGACCAATCGACAGGCATTAGTTCTGCGAACTTTTCATCTAAGAGTTGTCTGATAATCCGATCAATCGACATAGAATATAAATGTCCTGAACCTTCATTTCTTTCTTATCAGCTCAAGTCACATTCTGAATAACTGATGATTCTGTCAGTCATTGAACTCTTTCAATAGTGATTCTGAATTCTGATATTCTATCGGTATACTGAAGATCCATATTCCTCTACTTGTTAAGATTATCCAATATCTTTGAATACTATCTGTAAATTCTGGTGTGTTCCCTACTCACATGAATATTTTATTTGATTTTCAATTTGAATTCTGATCTGATACTTGACATGGATTCTGATCTAATATCTGACATAGATTCTGATCTGATACTTGACTTGGATTCTGATCTAATACTTGACCTGGAGTTTGATATGATACTTGACCTGATTTATGTTTTGATTTTTGATATATCCGTTTACGGACGGACATATTTACTTGGGGGGTAATGTTGGAGGAAGTATACCTGGAGGCTCATCGGCTGTGTGCTCAGGGCCTTATTTACCGGTTCCTCGGCTGTGTGCTCAGGGCCTACTGGACTTGATGGTGGGTGTATGGTTCTGGGGAACCTACACAATTTGGACTTGTTGGATGGGGGTATATATATATATATATATATGTTTTAAAAAGATCTGAAAAGTTACATGATTTTTGGGAACACACTAGAAAACCTATTTTGATCTCCTGAACTCAGTCATCCGAAATATTTCTCTGAACTGAAAGCTCATTGTCCGTAACCACCTGAAATATCAGTAGGATCTCTGCTCAGCATAAAAATCTGTAAATGTTAGGAAACAATAAGGAAATATATTTATCTGTATCTGCACGTTCATCAGCATCATCTGGTAGTTTTGTATTACTGAGCTTTCCAAAGCTCACTCTATTACTCACTTTTTCAGGTTAAAAGAATTGTACCAGTGCATCTATCGACTTCAGTAAGAGAGTTCGTCTGGCGTTGTTGCAGAGTATGGTACATGTGATTAGGGGGCATGTAATTGTATTTTGATTTATATACGAGTTTGGAAATCTGTTTTATTTTTAAATAGTGAAAACTGATTTTATAAGTTACATGTTTCAATAAAAGTTTTAAATTTTTTGCTATAATTACAGTGGGTCACTCCGGTGGCCCAAATGTGACTTCCCGGATCGAATCGGGCTACCTGCATTGGTCTGGGGGGTTACAGGAGCATGTGGTAAGGACTTACCCTGAGCAGAAAATAAAGGAGCCTGCGGTAAGGTCTTACGAGTCATAGACTAGACTTGAGATACTTCTTCCAATAATATCCCCAATGACAATAATAAACATGTATTTGTTCGAGTGAAACAATAGTTTAATTCATTAAAACATGAAAATATTCCAGACTCAGAAATCATATAAAAAATACAGAATTCAAAGATCATATCAGAAATGTACAGTAAATCATATATCATATAAATAGTATTCAGAAAATCATGTATAGTGCCGTAAAAATATTGAGTATTATTAGATATCTAAAACAGTTTAGATGAACAGTTTAAAACAGTAATGTAACACAATTAGGAAACACACATGTACTGGTCTGAGTAGTCTGATAAGAAAGCCTACTACTAAGTCTACCGATCACGATCAATGATAATGTTAGATCCTACGAATAGGAAAATCCATATCGGAATCCTAATATAAATAATAATAATCCCTATTTAAATAATTTAAAGAAACCTACGAGTAACTCTCAAGGAACACGGATCATGTAGATTTGACAGACGGGAAGCACCGAATCTAACTGACCCTCGGTCAGGTGAAATATGAGTACATTCATAAAAATATATTCTTGAATCAATTCCATAACCAAATCTCAAAAAAATATGCAAAAATGCTAAAAATACTAAGTATTTTTGGATTAACGGGCTCGATTTGGGGATTTTCGGTCTTAATTTGACAAAACGTATTGCGGAATCAGACTCAGGACGTCGAAAAAGGTCAAGATGGAGGTTTTCGAAAAAAGTCAACGCCGGTCAACAGTCAATAGTCAAGTAGCCCACCAGGCGGTGGAAATTTCCCACGCGAGTGGTGGTGCGTAGGGGTACGTGCGGGGCCTTACGGGGTCAGAAAAATTATGAAAAAAATTCTTGAATGCATTTTAAGGGGTTTTGAGACACTTATCAATCTCGATTCACAGCGGTTAATGGCGGAGAGCTCGATTTCTTAACGTTGGAAACTTGATCTTCCTCACCCCCTCATACGCCGGCGGCAAAGGAGACAAGATGGATACCGTTGGATTTGGTACGATGTAAGGAACACGAACCACTCGGGACGATGCAAGGATCACGATGATGCTGTATGTGTTGAAAACGAAACAATATTCGGCGACGAAACGTCGATTAAAGATTTGGGGGTTATGTAACACCCATAACCCGTATACACGAACAAATACGAGTTACAGATGTCATATCATAAATTCAAAACATTTCTTTAATTGAACTAAGTAAAATTTTTGTTTCATTCAAACATAACCAATTTCAAGCAGTGATAGACATTTATGTTTAATTTCATAAATTAAATAAGACTGTCTAACACGTTTGATTTAAAACCCAATTAATTTTTTTAATCTTAATTTAATATCATATGCAAACATTCATTCTTATATACATGCTAGCTATAACTTTTAGAACACAATAGGATGTCATCATTGTTACCTATAAATATTTCCTTGGTGATTGATGTCAAACTCAACTCCTTACTCCTTTTCTTCCTTTTTCATATGCGTGAAAATAATCACACGCTAAGTATACACTTAGTGAGACAATTATATAAATATTCAAAGCAATGCAACACATAATTTAAAGGAATAACATTATTCAATACAATATGATCACTTTACCTGTATACCATCTAGGTTACCATAAATTAGCATGATATAACCAAATATAAAGTTTCTTACCAATATACTTGTCATTTATCCCATAAGCCTGTAATCTTATTTTTCTGTTTATCATTTATTAACCAATAAACATTAGCCCAAATGTAAATCTATGAAGACCTTGAGTATTCGAGTTAAATATGCACCAAAGTGCTAATACACATAAAGTCGTGCCCACCATATGCACTTAGTGATCTTACATACTATAGTACTGCACTAAATGTCCTTACACATTAATGATAACCCGATTATGCAGCTATTAGATTCTATGACATATCAATTACACCCTGTCATTCAATGACTTACTTGGGTATATAGTTTATTTATTTGATTCATCATTCACAAAATATATTATCATAATTTAATATTAGACAGTTAATACTCAAAATATCATTTATGATAAATATCATATATGTTCATGATAAATATCTAAGGTAACAAACAATAATCAATGCATTTTATGCTTGGAGGGGGGCGGAGAAACAACAGAATCTGTAGGTAGATCCATCCATGCTCAGCCTGTTCCCTGTCTTTGTCTATCTCTCCCATTTCTCGATCTCTTACCTCGTCTTGGCTCGGTGTATCTGTTAAATCCCCGAAAGAAACCTGGCACCTTTGATGTCTAGGGCTGTATGCCGTCATATTAGCTATTTATGCTAAAACACCAAAAGGGTTACAGACAACAGTACATGTTCTAAACTGACTGTGCTAGAAACTTCAAGTGCCGGTTGGCAGTACAAGAATGTTTTCTGGTGGGATCAACCTGTACTACATTTCCATCTGATGGTACTTACACAGTCTCCAATGATGCGTTAACTCTTGCCAAATAAATTACTTTTAAGAATTTAAATGCCATTAGCACTCCGGAATCTTCGAATAAACAGAATTTACCTGCAGCAATTAGGAATAATATTTACCTGCAAGATCTCTCAGCTACCTATACAGTCAGAGAACCTTTGCAAACAACTTGTGATATAAAAAAGAAACATAAAGGTAAAAAGAAGCATCATTTAGGAATAATATTTACTTTTCATTATATTTCAAGAGTCCGGAACTCCGGATGATGGATACATAGGAAACAAAGATTTTACAATTCGAATTTGAATGAGATCAGAAGCATCTTGTTGCCCTTTTCTCTCGTGCCAATTCCATTTTTTTTTTACATCACAACAGCTCGACAAAAATCATAGAATTGGGATTTCTAACCTGAATGAATACCCAATTTTACATGCAATGGCCATTTCCAAGAACGAGGCTAGAATCTCCAGCCAAGTGAATATAATTAACTTTGTCTGCTCAGATTCGCCAGTGATTTTCTAATAAGAGATCAGGAAGAGTTATTTTCCCTGAGTTATTAGTATCAAGCTTGCTGAACTGATCGCATATTTGCAATATATCCTTCTCCCCAATCTTTCCCATTTCTTTGAGCTTGTAGATCACATACTCCGATTTACTGCGATGAAAGGGAAAACCGAACAAAACAAAAACATTATTACCACATGGTTTTTGTAAATTAAATGTTGATGCAGGATGTGGTTGATGTGGTAAAATGATTGGGTCTGGGGTGGTCTTACGACAGGCGAACGGATTCTTCATTGCAGCAAGATTATAGATACAAGCTGGCCATAAGGGCACATTTTTAACGGAGACGATTTTCCTTGGTATTGAATGGCTCTTGGAATGCAGGTCAGGCATGTAGAGATTAAAAGCAATTCTTTAGTTGCGATTAGGTAACTACAGGCAACGATCATTTAGTATCAAGCTTGAGGCATCTAATAGAATGATATAAAATCTCTTAGTGCTAGTTTTAGGGTGATCTCTTTCAAACATGTTTTTGGGACAGAAATCAATCAGCACATCACCTTTCTAAATTCGCGACAATTCTGGCAACATGCATTGAGCCAAGTTCAATCGAAAATAAGCTAGAAAGATTGAAACCCAACCTGATAAAACCGTTGTTATTGATGTCAGCAGCTAGCAAATCCTCAATAGTGATATCTCTCTGCAACACCCACTCAGCAATCCTCCTATGCCTCTTGTTAACCCTTGCTTCAGCCAAATACAGAAAAGCTCTAGCAACAGCCAGCTTGGAAAGCAGAAGCCAGGCACTGGTAAACAACCTTCCGGGCAGAGTCTTAAACGCCCGATCACCGTACCCAACCGTAGTAACCCACATAACCGACAAGTAAGACAGTCAACGTGTCTTCTGCGGACTGAAGACGCCAGGTAAGCTTGGTGTATTCCTATTTTGCCTGTAGACGCCTGTAAGCTTGAAGTCTTCCTGATTGACTTGAAGATCCCAGGAAAGTTTAGTGTCTTTAGTTTGATACTATACATTTCACCCTATATGACAAAATAATCTACAAAGTAGATTATTTGAGGAATTAAATAATATTTTGTCTTATTTGGGCCATTTTGTCCTGGTAAACTTATTGAGTGATTTTAATTATTAAAAGAAATATTATTTTTTTAAAGTCTTAAACTTGAATAATTATGTTTGTAAAATATTTATTATTACTAATTAAAGAAATTATTAACCAATATTACGTTATAAACCCCTAATGTCCTTACAAAATCTCTTGTCAGATTGGTAAAAGCAAATATAAGAATAAAATAAACATATAGTTCACTAAACAAGCTCGGGAAAAAGAGATTATATAAAAAAAGGCGATCTGTGCTAAATATGGAGAAGTTGTAGAGAGATGGAGGATGCGGATGTGAACCTCGAAAAACGGATAAAACTAATTTAAGTTACATAGGTTACATAGAGGAATAAAACTATGACATCGATATGATTATAAAGATTAAACTACTATTAAATAATAACAATTTTATTTTAGTTAATGTCGCTACCATCTTTCGGTTGGATTTGGAATTGGGTTTTAACTTGAATAATTGAGTTAGAATCGTCACCGATTATTTTAAAATGAAATTTAGGTAGATCATACACCATCTTACCTGATCTGCGTTTTACCAGAGACGTGTCGGGTTCGTGAGTCGATTACGGTCAAAGAAGGATTAACACCCTTGAACCGCCCTTTCGGTACCAATTAATTTGTCCTTATTTACGAAAATTTAAATTAAAACTTAAAAATTCAATTCGAATTACTTACCTTTAATCGATTGAGATTACTACTAGAAAAGTCAGAAAACAATGTTAGATAGAAAAATAGACAAGTAAAAAAGAGAAAAAAAAGGGTAAAAACATAAAATAAAATAAAAAATATATAATAGTGATAAAAATATAAAAAATAAACCAAAGAAAAAAACATATAAACTACAAAAAATAACTAAAATAAAATAAAAAATAAATCAAAGAAATAAAAAATGAAGTAATTAAAATAAAAAAAGAAAAGGAAAAGGCAAAAAAATATTATTTTCAAAGTAATGAAATGGAACCAATATGAAGTAAACATAAATAATACTAATATTAATAAAAATAATAAATAATAAAATAAAATAAGACTTTAGGGGTCAAATTACAAAAATATAAAATAAATAGGGATCGAGTTGAATAAATTGAAAAATCAGTGGCCAAATTGCATACAGTGACTGAAATGAATTGCGACTCAAACTTGCAGGGACTGCGGAAAGGATTTAAAAATCCTTTATTTGCATAATGGTCCTTGATATATAAATACCCCAATAGCCCTTTCATGTTCACATTTTCTCGCTAAAACACTCTCCCCTAAATGAGAGAATCTCTCGGCCTTTCTCCCTTCCCCGATAGTCGGTCCAAGCCTAGCCACCACTCCGGTGACCAACCCCGTCGTGCCTTTTTCGCTCCGACCGACGGCGACGGCGGCCGGAAAGAACCCAAACCACACCAAAATGACCCTCTCACCGTCCTAAATACTAACCCGAAGTCTAAATCCCCAAAACCCCCCACCAATCAGCGTAGATCTAGTCTGAGATGTTCGACCCTTTACCTTTCTCGGCATGCCTTTTCCACTTCTCGGTGGCTCTTTCCTTTCAAACCGAGACTAGAACCGCGTCTGGTCCTTGCTTTGCTTTGCTTCGGCTGTTTTGGATTTATCCTTGCATCACTTTGCTTCGACTGTTTTTGTATTTGTAGATTGTTTTGGTTTTTCTTTTGCTTTCTTGTGGTTCCGTGATGGATTCGATGATGTTTGGTTTACTGTTTTCGATGTTGGCTTCGATTTGTTCTCTGGTTTCGATATGTTCTATTGATCGATGTTTGACGATATGTGTTGTTGATCGTGTGATGGTTGTTCTCCTTGGTAGTGGCTTGGTGGGGGTATTTATACCCCCATCGGTGGCCTGTTGGTTCCGATTATTACAGTAACACTCGTCGTTGACTGGGGATTTTGGGATAGGTTAGTCCCAATTTCCCCGGCCAAAAATCTCGCGTCGTTGTGACGTCCCTTGACTGGCTCTCGATCTCCCTGTTCCCCTCTTATGCGTCGCCTGACTGGGATGTGTGTGTGAAACCCTAATCGAATTTGGGCTGGGTCAGACCCAAACCCAATTGGGCTATTGTTGGACTGCCCCTTGGACCCGATTTTGGACCCTGGACAAAATGAAATAAAATAAAAAGTAAATAAATAAATAATAATAATAAATAGTAATAATAATATAATATATACTATATAATATATATGTTTCAAAAACATTTTTTTAAACTTTATATTATTTTTCTAAAAATTTTCCAAAACTATATATTATATAGTTTTCAAAAATGATTTTAAAACTATATATAATATTATAATTTGGGTATACAAGTCCAATTTATTATGTTTATCAAGAAAACCTGTTATAGTCTAGGTATTTTTGAAAGTCAAGGAATCTCATCTTTAGAGTTCAATTTCTAAACAACTGACCTAAACTAGAATTGCTTACTCGACTATTCCATCTATGAAGATCATTATCATCACTAAACGTCTTAAATAAAAAGTATAGTAAAGTCATATGCAAAACATGGCCCATGTTGTCTGCACTATGCATATCTAAATACCAAGCCTTATGAATGGAGAAGGCTATATTGGTCATTTGCAAAAGAAGGGTACGGTGTTTGAGCGTATCTTCTGGATAAGGTCAAAGTCCTTTTTTTTATTGTCAAAGATCTGTAACTCTGAATCATTTAAAAAGATTTTTTAATTCATTTGATATTCAAATAATTTCAAGATGTAAATTTGATTCAACGCCCAACGTAAATTCATTGAAATATCATCATAAAAAGAAATATGTCAGAGTTCAAAAGCAGGTTTCAAAAAGAAATCTAAGAAAGTTAAAAAAAGTCCAAACAGGATGCTGCAAAATGGAATAAAGCCTCATTATGATGCCCCACTATTTCCAGAATGTCGATGATTAGGGCCTTCATCTGCACTTGCTCCCCATTTCTCAACCGTTTCACTTGACAAGGCTCCTTTCGATGTATTCTCAGATGAACAAATTTCTGCTTCGAGAATGTCATTGCTTTCATCGTAAAATTCCCGCTCTTTTCTATTTGAACGAATGTTATGTGGATGAGGTGTGTCCAACTCTTGTTAGTTAATGTGAATGAAAAAATGTGAAATATGCAATAATGCATGATGCATGAAGTTTCGAGGCACTGATCCAAAAATGTGTCTATTACTGTAAATAATCTTTATTGGGGACAAAAGTGTTATGTCTTAGAAGATAAAAAATATTTTAAAGGTATAAACCCCAAACAACTTCAGACTGGTTGGTTCGTCTTCAGCCTTGTACTTGTCCCAAGAGTATCGAATGACTATATATCTGGTTTTCACTTTCTACTGAGTCTGCCCTAAATGGGAGCGCCGTTGGAAGCCTCCATTGAAGGGATCTATCTGAAGTTTTCTTCTTTAATTCATCAACAATGAACTCCAATTTCGGCTAACGTCTTGCTGTCTTTGAAGGGACTCTTCAGGCCAATAACGTTTTATCTCGTCTTGCCCCTTGCCAGCTCAAGAAGTTAACTTCTAGTGTGCACAATGTAAACCCGGTCCATCCTGAGTATTCTTGGACTTCTGAGTTTTTCATCTCTTGTATTATAACCCCATTTGTCTATTAATGCAAATTATTTACGTTTAACGAACACATTTTTGGTGGATCAATACCTTGTTTTTTAATGATGCAAATGATGAAAATTAAAATGAAAGAAAAAAAGAAAGAAAGAAAAAAATGAAAAGAGTTAGGGAGGTAAATCAAAACAATAATGAAAATAAAAGGTTATACCCCACATGATATCTACCCCACATGCTTAGTATTCCAACTCGGACATGATCTCTATCCCACAAGTTGATTTTGAACAAGTCCTAACTGCATAAATTTCTAGTTCACATGCTTTGAATATGAAATAAAGTAGGAAAAAAATAGCCTAGGGTTTGAAATGAGATTTTGGGGTGGGCTCTAATTCCCTGTAGTCTCCAAGTTTAGGTTCTAAAGAAGGTATCCGAGTTCTCCTTGCTGGTGCCCCATTGGGTTTGCCAAACCCTTAGTCCTAAGCCCATTACAAGCTTATGTGGACCAAGTTAAACTCGAGCGGATATATTCCCTTATGCCCATACGGAGAATAAATTCACACGAAGACATAAGGTATATGAATCCCGAAGGTTACTTGCCAGGCCCATACGGAGAATAAATTCCCACGAAGGCGTTGCTTTCACCCCACTTAAAAGAGTTCGGAGCTCGGGTATAGAATATTAGATGGAAAATTTTCAAGAATATGAAATCATTGAAAGAAAGCACCAGTACAACTATTTACTTAAAAATAATAATCAAAGATAAATAATTAGAATCAAATAAATAAATTAAAATTAAAATTTACCATTTTCGCTTAAAAACAACCGAAAATTAATTCTGGCATGAGTCACTTACCTGTCCCCAGCGAAGTCGCCAAGCTGTCGCTGTCGTCTTTCGATTGAACCCGGAATTGGGCTTCGACTTGAATGATTGGGTTAGTACCGCCACCGATCATTTTAAAATGAAATTTATGTAGATCAGACACTATCTTACCTGATCTGCGTTTTACCAAAGATGTGTCGGGTTCGGGAGTTGGTTACGGTTAAGGAAATGTTAACACCCTTGAACCGCCCTTTCGGTACCAATTTATTTATCTTTATTTGCGAAAATTAAAATTTAAATTAAAACTTAAAAATTCAATTCGAATTACTTACCTTTGATCGATCGAGATTACTACTAGAAAAGTCAGAAAACA